CCACCACCACCACCCCCCCACACACATGCCCAGGCCTGTGTCCCATCAGCTTCTCTAAGACCTGCTGCAGCTCCTAACTAGCCTTTTCCTAGGGGCACCTGCACACTTTGCAGGTCATGAATTGCTCATGTGAGTTGAAATTCCGCCCCTGGAAAATGGGCCTGGTGGTAGCCTGCAACAAGCCTCCCCTGGCCCAGCACTGAGCCCAGGCTGTGAATGTCCCTCACCTGGCGCCAGGCTAGAGGAGGCCTGGGCACCTGGGCACAGCAGAGTACAGACCCTGCTGCTAACTCCCCTCTTCATTAGCTGAGTCTGCTGTCTTTTCTCCTAGACATTCCAGAAGCATTAGTTGGTGTTGTCATTGTATAGTGTCTGAAGAGAAAATATTTAGTCCCGGGTCAAAAACTTTAACTGGAGTTCCTACTCAAAAGCCAGGCATCATTATTAAGTTGTCAGAAAGTTAGCCATGACATTTGAGGAAGTAATGAAATGGCCATAAATGATGTAAGCTTTGCAATGAGCAGACGTGTTCACAGCTCCTGACATCTGGAGAAGAGTGAGGAGCCCCGGCCTCAGCTAGCTCTCACTGACCAGCTCAGCAAAAAATTCCAATTAGAGCAGCTTTTAAAAAGGGGTGATTGTCCCTGGTAGGGTGGACACTGCTCTCCCGGGAGCAGGGCTGTCAGAGGGAGCTATCCAGATGGTTGCTCCCCGCCCTTCTGAACTGGGGAGACTCCTCTGGTGAATTGAGTGTGTGGTTTTGTGCCCCTTCGATTGCTATTCCAGACCCTCATCCCAAGAGCGGGGCTGGGTTCCAGGCCCCATTAGTGGGTCTGTGGTCTCTGGGCAAAATTTTCACAGCTTCCCGGGAGAACAGTGGTGTCTGCAAGATGTGCGTTTGGTTAACATGTTGAAGAGGCCTCTCATAAATTTCAGAGCAACAGGAACTGAGCAGCTTTGAAACGCCAGCTGCAGATGGGCTGTGTGAGATGGGCTTTGAGCACCGGAACATTTGATTTTCCCATCAGCCCCAGCACTAATGAGACCCAGTGCCTGGGGGAGTCAGTGGTGAGCCCTGGGCTGCCCCTACCTGGCCCTCCCAGGAGATTCCCTGTCACCATTCGCTGTCTGCCTTTTTTCAGTAATTTTATTTTTTTCTCACTTTAAGTATCTGGAACTTTCCTCCCTTCACTTGGTAATTCCTTGAATCTTCAGAAAGAAGAGGGGGGAAAAAAGGAAGAAAGCAAAGACTGATGAGGAAGATAGAGAAAAGAACAGGGAGAACGGAAGAAAGAATGAGGAGCTGAGAGACTCACTCTCTGGGAAGATGCTTCAAATGTGGGGGTTTCCTTGAGAAGCTCATTTTTATAAAATAAGTAGAGGCAGTTGCTTGGCACCGCCACCCCACCCCCCCACCGCCACCCCTCCATCCCCCCAGGGAGCTGGTGCTAAGTTACTGAGCAAATCTTCCACCTGCTGCGACCACCAACCTTGTCTCATAGATTCTGAGGTGCTGTAAAGAAAGCACCTGGCAAAACACTGATTGAAAAAGATACTTGTACCCCCATGTTTATTGCTGCTTTATTTACAATTGGAAAAACATGGAAGCAGCCCAAATGCCCAAAAGTAGATGACTTGATTAGAAAGATGTGGTATATATATACAATGGAATATTACTCAGCAACCAAAAAAGAGAAACACATGTCTTTTGCAGCAACTTGGATGGAGCTGGAAAAGATCATGCTTAGTGAGATAAGCCAGAAAGAGAAAGAAAAATACCGGATGGTGTCACTCATAGCAGGAGTATAATGCACCAGGCGAGAAAATAACAAAAATAATGAACAACCATATACCAGAGACATTCTGTGGGGGTGGAGTGGGAAATGGGATCAAAAACGGGGGGGGGGGGAGGAGGGAGGGAAATGCACGGGACTATGGTGGTGGCACAGGGGTGATTTGGTGATGGGAAACCCGCGGGGATTACAATCGAGATGGAAAAAAAAATGTGCAAAATGATGTAAAAATAAACAATAAACTTTGTAATAAAAAAAAGAAGAAGAAAAAAAAAGAAAGCACCTGGCACGCAGCAGCTCACGTTTCCCCCGCCTCCCCCAACCTCCCAGAGCCCCCTCCTCCTGAAGCTCAGGGAAGCTCTGGGCTTGTCTGTCCCTGCTGATCATGTGGCAATGTTGGGATTTTCTTTGTTGATTCTGGTGGTATCTGAGACAAACATCTTCAAAAACCCCAAAATAAGTTGATCACTCCCCCTCTTCTTGTGGCAGCTTCACACTTCACACAGGGCTTTTGGGTGCTGTCTCTTCACCTGTCTCCCTCCTTGCTCTCCCCTCCTTCCCTCTTTTCTTTCCAGTCTGTCTCCTCCCCTGCCCTCCCACACATACGCACAAACCTGCCTATTATCCAGCTGCATCCCCCTTTTAGGGTACCTATTTTTATAAAGTCTCCTCGGGTCAATAATGAGAAGAGGTAAAATCCATTAATACAGGTTAAACGAGACGGTGGCATGGAGGCCGTGCCTCACCGTGTGGAGGGCAGTGTTCCCAAAAGACAGACGCAGAGCTTTTCTTTTAGTGCATTTCTCTGACCTGCCCTCTCACCCCAAAGAACTACAGCAAATTTGAGGCATCTGTGTCAAATTCGGGAGTTTGAAGCGATGGAAGATGATCAGTTCTAAAAAAGATCCCTTTCAGCCCCTCTGTCATTTCAATGTTTCTACAAGGGCTTTTGTCTCTATCCTTCATTTCCTGTGTAATTCAAACCTCAGTCTGAAACATTAGCCTGTGTCAGAATTACCTGTAGGGCAAACGTACCCTTTATCAATGATTTCTTGACAAGCCTACTTTAAAACTCACCTGAAAGCTGATGAGTTTTGTCACACAGATTCCTGGGCCCACCCCACAGATGCTCAGTCAGTGAGCCTGGGACGGGACCCAGGAATCTGGCTTCCTAACACCAGGGCTCCCAGGGCTGTGGAGCTGCAGGTACGCAGACCACACCTCGTGAGGCTGGCTCCAAGCCGTGTCAGGGGGCTCCCTCTAGTTGCTCAGACACAGTTGTCTGTAAACCTTCTGTGGAGCTTTTCAAAAGCCTTTTCAAATTAAAAGAAATCAAATTGGATGCACTCATCTCAAGCCCCTTCATTTCTCCATATTTCCTCCATGGTGAGTTTAATGAGCACAGAGGAGCCAGTTGTGTGAGCTCCATAAGTAAGCTGCCAGTCTCATTTTAACATCCCAGTGCCCGCTGTCACTGAGTGGCCGGCAGCCCGTTCACCAGCCACTCTGCCTGGGGCTCCAGGTAAATGCAATCAGCCAAGGTCATGGGACCCCACGCCTTGGAGGCAGCTCCTGCACAGACACCTGTGCACCCCAGCGCGGGGTGACTGGCTGCCCTCGGTGACATCTCCACCTGGTTTTGGGTTTCCTCTGCTTGTCCTCACACTTGGGAGTTACAGTCAGTCATTAGGGGCTGACAGAGACCTGGGGCTTTTGGTTACACTTCACTGCATTTATGGCAGAAGGGGCTGACGATGTACTCTAGTGGTCTTGCCACATGTGGACCTCTGTGGCATCTGGGATCGTCAGTGGTAACAGGAGAGCTATCAGCTTAGTGGTAGGGACCAATTTGTTGAGAACAGTACTGAGTGAGGTGTCTCCTTCCACCTCAGAGCTACCATGGGGCGGGTGGACTCTCTTGCTTCTGGCGGCAGAATCAAGCTAAGACAGCCTAAGTCTTCATCCAGGTTGGAGAAGCAGGATTCAAACTCATGTCTGTCAGCTTCTAAGGCCCAGGCTCATAACCACTAAGTACTACTCTCTCACTGTTCACAGCACCTATGTTTTTAGCCTCTGCTACTTCTATTCAATTATGAGATCCCAAAACTATGATACTCCTAGAAGCAATTCTTGAATAGAAAGCCAGCAATGTAAGTTCAATATTTAGTGATTGTCTAAACCCCACACTAGAAGCCCTGCCCTTTCTCAAAGAGCAAGGACTCCAAGAACATATTCTTTCCAAAAACAGCAAGTGGAAAAGACTCTCCCCAAATACCCAACACAAACATGAGAGAACCCTTTGAAAGAAGCCATGGAAACCACCTCTACTGTGCCATCTTGAAATAGTTGCCTGCTGTGTCTCAAGTGTTATTTGACTCAAATACAGTGACTGATTGGCAGCTAATAACATAAATCCCAAGTCATATCTTCCGGGCTAGCCAAAGGTGTTCGTTCATATGTTGTTCCTTACAGTTGTTTTTAGTTATTTGTATTCCTGTCTGAAAGCCAGGGAAGGAATTCCCTGAGAGGTTTGGTGATGTTCCGGGCTCTGGAGAGTGATGGGCTGCGAGCAGGATCCAACTCTGTTCCCTGCCTCACGCTCCTTGGCTTTCCCAGTGCTGCCCAAGCAGCTCTGGGCCATAGGCCATCTCGCACTGCCACTCCTTTTCCCACCAGCTCAGACGCACCCTGCTACCCTCTCCCCGTAGATCCTCTCCAGACTTTTCCGTTATGTCTAAATTACTCCATGTTAAAATGCTTAGTAGAATCCTGAGATACAGACCAGATCGAAACACACTTGTTTCATGTACAATAATAATGTGTCGCAAACACTGTTCTTCTTCAGCATCAATTTAGTGACTCTACTGTGCTCTTATCTCTTTCTTCTGGTTTCTTGTGTTTGAAGCAGATTCTGGGGGATGCTGTCTTTAAAGGTAAAATTAGGTTGCTCTTGGGTAATAGGCTTTAAATAGTAAAGAGGCTCTGGTGTATTTGAGTTGCACTGAATCTTTTGGAGAGAGTGTTGCTTTCCACAAACTTGAAAAATAAGGGCTGGCCATTAGAAAGTGAGTGTTGAAGAAGGAAGCTCAGATGGGGGCCAGAAATCCCAGCCCACGGACTCCACCCCTTCTTGGTCAGAAGAGTAGGGTGGGGGCCTGTCTTCACTATGCGGTGGATCTGAGCCAACTGTCTTTTCTCTCCCAGCAGACCCTCCCGTGGCTGCAGCTGTGTTGTCCCATTTTAATGAATGCCCGGATTCCCACAGTCAGTTTTGCTTCCATGGAACCTGCAGGTTTTTGGTGCAGGAGGAGAAGCCAGCATGTGTGTAAGTGCCCCCTGGTGTCCTGGGGGGTGAGCAGCCCATCAACCAGTTCCAAGAGCATTCACCTCCACCAGGTGTGCCTGAGACGCCTGGAACCGGACATGTGGGATGATCAGGACAGCTGAGGGATGCCTTGCTCTAAAGCAGCTGGTTGAAAATTCAAATTTGAGTGCCCTGGTTTCGAGAACCACTGAGGCAGAAGCCTTGAGGGGAGTGGAACCTGGGGATCTGCATTTGTTTAGCAAGCAGCTCATGGCCATTCCTGGGCCCAGCAAATTCCTGGATTCAAGTTAAATTAAGTACACTACCTTGGGCTGGGTGCTTTCAGTAGCCAGGGTCCAGCATTATTACAGGAGGTTAATAAGTTGCAGTGCACACAGACATAGCAGTAACTGGACAAGGAACAAACTTAGAAATAAAAATGTGTGCTTGTTCCCACACCAGGCCCAGCATGAGCTCCTGGAGCTTTCCAAAGGATAGCTAAGCCCCACCCAACCAACTGGCTCCAAGCTCCAGGAAAGACACTTGGGAAAAGCATCAGGAGCTCTGGTGACTTGTAGTTAGCCAGATCAGGGAGGACAGGAGCTTGAGGAGAGCATCCCAGAGCAGGTATTAGGAATGTTTCATTGGAATGGGCAGTTGGGTTACCCCAAAGCTAGAGCGTCTGGGGCCCTGCTATTGTAGGTCAGCAGCTGCAGCAGTGTGGAGACAGAACTGGAGTCAGATCAGAGGCCAGAGCTTGTTGGAGAAGGGCCTTTATTCTCTGGGCTCTAATGGGAGCCATGCTGGGTTTGGAGAGAGATGTTTTTGGAAAATTAGTCTATCCATTATAGATTACTGTTAAGCAGCCCATTCTCAACCTTCGCATTCTTGGCATTTGGAGCTAGAAAATCCTGAGTTTAGGGGATTCCTTGAACCCATGTATTCAAGGGTTCAAGCAGCAGCCCTGGCTACTCCCTCCTAGGGGCCAGTAGCACTGCCACCATAACCCCATTGTGACAGTCAAAAATGTCTCCAGAAAGATAAAATCTGGCCACTTGTGAAAACACAGATGGAACTAGAGGGGATTATGCTAAGTGAAATAAGTCTGAAGAAGAAAGACAGATAACATGTGATTTCACTCATTTGTGATATACTAAAAAAAAAAAAAAAAAAAAGGCAAAATAAGCCCCAGGCTGACAGCAGAATAAGAGTTACCAAAGGTTTTAAAAGAGGGGGTACAGGAATGGGAGGTGGAAAGGAGCAATTGGTTGATGGTGAATGATGACTGGACTGGTGGTGGTGGACATGGAGATGTGAGAAAACCATACTCCTAGAATGCATACAATGCTGTAAACTAATGTCACCTCAATAAATATCAATAGATAAAAAGGAAATTGCCTGAGGTGGGAAAGGGGGGCAAAGTCCACTCCTAACCACTGAACTATATGGCGATGCCATTCCTATAGGCCAAAAATGATTGGAAGCCAGCAATTTCACATCGTCCAACCTAACACCAGTAAATAATACTGAGCTTTCATTTATTGCTGTGCACCTCCATGCACAGCACTCATATGATTCCTCACAATCCCTGAGGTATGTACAGGCATGGGGAAGTTGGCCCTAGGTCACATAGCAGAGCTCAGAGTCAAATTGGACTTTGGCTACTGAAGCAGAGTCCGTGATGCTTAAGTGTATCAGACGCATCAGCCTGGGAGAGATTGGGGACCAAGAGAGCCTACTCCCATAAGCAGTGCTCACCTCCTCCTGAGGCACACCTGTGAGCCCTGAACAGTGCCTCAGTGCCTCTAAGCCTGGCCAGGAGAGGCACACTGCCACTTCCCCCTGGGGGGAGGACAGTGTGAGGTCCCTAAGTCATGCCTCCGGAAGTAAGAAACACCCCCAGATAAGGGCCCTCCCCACACCCTGAGTACAATGCACAGTGAGGATAGTAGACAGTGAGTTATTCATGATTATCATTCTTGTTTAAACACACGTGGGGCCCCTGGGGTGGGTTGGAGGGTGCTGCTGGAATTGTTTTGTTAGTAGCCAGATCACTATGGAAAAATACTGGCCCAGAGGCAGTTAGGAAGCTCCCAGGGCAGCAGGCAGAGGCATTCTTTCCACTGCAGAACACAGTGCAGGGGGACTCAGGCTACAGTGAATGGGGCAGACCTCTTTGGGGAGAGTTTGATCGAAAGAAAGTCAGCAGCTCAATGTTTCCACCTCAGGTGCTTTCTCCACAACAGCAGGAGTTATTGTCAACTTCCTGAGAGCTGGGGCCTGGGTCATTCACCCAGCCAAAGTTCCCCCTCCCTGCCCCATCTTAATTATGGTCAAGACCCCCCACCCCCACCCCCCTTGTCTGGACAACTGCTTTCTTGTTCTCCTCAGTGGAGGCCACAAGCACTGCTCTCGGCTCAAGGGCAATCACTATCCATCATATTCACACACCATCACATTTTGGTAATCAGGGAGACTCGCTCTCTCTATTCACATTATAAATATTACCACTAATGATAACAATAGCTCCAAAGACAAATTGGATCTATGTGCCAATTTGGAGCTAACTCATAGAGTCCTCACAGCTCCTCTCTTGAGCAGGGTCTCCTTCCCTTACTTATCCTGTAAGTGAGCAGTTGGAGGCTCAGAGAGTCCCAGATCCAGCAAATTCCATCCCTTCTGCCCTCAGCTGCCGCCCCAAAGGACTCTGGGGCCCAGCCTCACAAAGTTCCCCTCAAATCACTGAGTTCTTTTTCTCCAGGAAAGATTGGTGCCTTGTTCCTGAAGGTAAACCTTCCCCAGAAAGTAGATCAGAGTCAGCCCGGAAGCCCATTGTCTGACCACAGACTCTTATCAACTCCTTCCTGTGTGAGGTCTGTGGGAACTGCAGACACCCTTGTCCTGTGGAAAAGCTAGCCAGGCAAGCTTTCAGTGTACTTCACCTCAGCGACCCTCTTCACCTCAGTGACCCACTGGATGCTGGTGGCCTAGGGGCAGTATTCAGCCCACAGTTATGTTTTATATGCACTGGATGATGATCCTCATTGTTCTTTAATTAGTTGGCAGCACTGTAGAGAAGTCAGGTTCCAGACCTTCATGTTGATGCCCAGCTGCTCTTAAAGGAGCAACAGAAGGCAGCTCCAGGTCTGTGCTGGCATACACAGCCTCGAGGCTGAGATACAGGTGCACCTCCCTGCACCCCAGCCCCACCCAGTTCTCCAGCTCCCTGCCCTGCTGCTCTCCACACTGACATAAATGTTATTTCCCTCTCATCCTTTGCCACCGCTATTCTGCTAACACTTGCCCACTTAAGTCACTTCTGCAGCTGCTGTGGGAGCTTGTAAGCTCAGTGAGGACAGGACCGCACCTATACATTTTTGCATTTCTGATACCTAAAAGAATGTTCTATTTAATTCATTCCTACTAGACCAGAAACTCTGAATCTGCAGAGAAATCTGTTGGGGAAGAAGCTAATCATATATCCTTCTAGGTCTGTAAAGCTGAAAAATAATTAAATTGACATGAGAGATTAGAAAGAAAAAAGGCACACCTTAATTATGTGTGCATAGAATAATGGAACTTACCATCTGGTCATTGCAGTGAGGTTATAGAATCTCCAGGATGGGTGCATGAAATTTAGGAGAGAAAAATAATAAAGAAGTCCAAGGAAAAGGAACGTTGCAGGATTTTTTTGTTGTTGTTATTTGTATTTTCTCCTTATCTTTAATTTCACGTTGCAGGATTTTAAAGAGACCCTGTAAACCCTCAATCTGGGTGATAAAGCAATAAGATTATCTCTCATCTCTCAGATCACCACCGAAAAGATTTATTTCCTGTTTTTAGGGAAGTAGATAACACACATCCTGGTCCATAAAGCTGACATACCTTGAGGTTATGGCCCCTCATGGCCATATAAATTAATATGACAGTGAGTCAAGATTACAGTCTGAGAAAAAGGGAGATTTTCTAAATACTAGCATTCCTAAGCTTTGTTTTCCATATAAACAATCCTCTTTCTGTTCCTGAGAATCTAAAGTGACACCTCATGCTAAAATGAGGTAAAGGAAAAGAATTAAAACAAGTAACTAGTCAGAGAGCCAAAAGTAGTAAAAATGGCCTTAAAGATTTATGTGTCTGAGGAACCCAGATTGTATTTTATGTCTCCTTTTCATAAATCCCGCGGTGCTCAACTAGATGAGAAAACAAAGGGGAAGAGAAAAGCCATAGAAATGCAAAGTTAGGACTCTTGCCATTTTTCCCCTGAGGCAGAGTCCCCACACTGTTGGTTTGCTGCCTGCAAAAGCCTTTAAACAAAGGCAAACCGTTGAAAGAAGCCACCCAGGTGACTTGTTTTGAGGTTCCAGCTTTGGCAGCCAGTAACAACCAGCTTGAAGTTTCTCACCTGTCCCATATGCTGCTCCGTGACTGAACTCCCCGCCTTAACTTTCCCACAGCAAAGTGTGAAAACAAATTGCTCTCAGCCAAGGAAAACATTCCTCACGGGCCGGCCACAGCACATTCCAGTGGGATCTGACAGAGTCAAACACCCAGAGAAAAGTGACCGCCATCCCTGTTCCGCCAGGCCCAAACACTTCCCAAGAGTCTGGGCGAGGAGTGGTTTTCTGCTGGTTGCTAGCCACTCTATGTTGGTGTGCTGTCATTTCAACCAACAGCATGTTGGGGTGGTGGGGGGCAGGGATAGAAAGTTATGACTTCACACTATTCAGGTGCCTGGAAGAAATGCCAGTCCTCCTGTCCTTCCACCCCCACCAGATATTGAAAATCAAAGCAAATACTGAGTATTGGAGCTCAGTTGTAATGCAGCAGTTAAAAGCTTTGCTTGGAGGTGAGACAGACCTGAGTCTCTTATACCAACAACTTTAAATCTTGGTCACTATAAGTGACATGTCAAGCCTCCATTCCTTTGTGTATAAAGTGAGGACATTATAATACATTTCATAGGTCCCAGTGACCATAATGCAGAAAGGACAATTGCTGTCCACAACAAGAGCCACTGGACA